GTCACAGGTGCTTGCTTCCCTAACCCATATGGCACACCCAAACCATCTGAGAAGACCAAAGAGCAGGTAGCAAGCCCAGGACAAAATTTTGAATAGCAAATAACTTGTATGAAAATGAAAAGTCTAGTTTTAAAAATCAGGTGAAGCATATAAACCAAAGTGTTCATTTAAAAAATTCAAGGAGGCATAAAGCAAGGTAGTGGGGAAGAGATGCAATGGGAACAGTATAAATGCATCACACTATCACAAGAGTCTAGAAATGATATGGACCAACATAATATTAGAAATGAAACTTACAGTATTATCCCATCCCAATATCTCTAAATCAAAAGCATTCAGTAATGGATGTCTTTCAAACTTGAAATACGGCAGGTGGTGAACCACCAGAGGGTGGTATTAGTGTGCAGTGAAGTTAGCCTAGATCCTGAGAAATCTGAAAGTAGTACTAACTTACCCATGCCACACACCTATGCATACAAAGTCCCTCTAATGTAGAAAGCATTTGTACTTTTCTACACACTTGCTAGGGTCCACCTAACTATTGGACACTGGCATCCATGCAGAGATAGCCTCCATTTTTCCTTCAGAATCAGAAACTCAGAAGCCCTTACCAACAGCCTGTCCTCATTCCAATATCTTTCTTACTTAATTATTCACAAATTAAGCAGAATCACAGAAAGAGAACTGGTCTTTTTCCTAACACATGCTCCCTGGAGAGAGGGGAGAGGAATGCAATATTTAGGTTAAGTTGCTATTTCATGATGGTTCCCTTGCTTCCAAAGCCAGCAACTTCTCTTTGGCGCCTTTGCCTTTCTCACTACCCCATATACTCAACAACGAAGCCCTCGAAATGAATAGCCCCAAAGTGCTCTGGGCAATCCTAGCTTCCTTCCAACTTCCACCTTAAAAGACAAAACACCAGGCCGCACTGGTGCCAGGTGATGATACCCAGAGAAGACTGCCCCCGGTCTTAAACTTCAAAAATATGGAGGACAAAGACGATGACGTTAGACAAGGAATTCAAAATACAACTCAATTTTGCTTCAGATTTACAATTACATATATCTCAGCCAAGAAGCCTAAGACAGACCTAATGGATGTTTTTTATGACCAAACAGGGGAAAGATACTCCTGAGTCTATCAGTACCTATGTCATTGCTGTGTAAGATAATGCTTGACAACTGCACCTTCTCTATTTACTTACCAAGAATAAAATATTTACTAATGCATTTGCTCATGCACTTTTGGAGGCAGGGTCTCAATATGCAACCAAGCCAGTCTCAAACAAAATTGTCCTGCTACAGCCTCCCAAGTGCCAGAATTACAAGCATGTACTACCATGCCCAGCCACTAAATCTCATCTTATTTCATGACAGGCAGCATGAAGAGTATAGTGTCTATAGCAACAAAGTAAAGCAAGAATAAAAGAATGGCACAACTAAGAAACTTGTACTGAGCCAGCAGTAATTGAAGATACCGGCTACACAAGCCTAAAGAACTGAGTTCAATCCCCAGAACCCAGACGAAGGTGGAAGGAAAGAACCACTCCACAAAGTTGTTCTCTGACCTCCACATGTTCCCTGTGGCATACACACACCTACATATACCCCACCCGTCTCTCTATCAAATAGACACATTAATCATACATGATTTTTGTAACTGTTAAGAAAAACTTTTCAGAGAACTGGACATAGTAGCTCATGCCTAACTATAATACTAACACTTGGGAGGGGGAGCCAGAAGATCAGTTCAGCGTCATTCTCAGCTATATGACAAGTTCAAGGCCAGCCTCAACTGTATGAGACCACCATCTAGGAAAGGAGGGAAGGATGAAAAAAGGAAGCAATTTATCAGGCATAGTGGCGAATGCTTGTAATCCTAGTACTCTGAAGGGAAGGTGGAGGCAAGAGTAGATGGGTCAAGGCCATCTCTGGCTACATAGTAAATTTGAGACCAGTGTGAACTACATAAGACCCTGCCTAAAATCTAAAAGACAAAAAAGAAACCCACTCAAACCAAGACATGATAGCTTCTGCCTATAATCTTAGCATTCAGGAGACTGCCAAAAAAGAACTGCCACAAGTTAAAACTGCCACCAGCCTGAGTTACAATGACTCTACCTCAAAATTAAGAAAAAAACAAACACGCACACACGCACAAGCTTTCAATTCCAGCAGTGAAGGCAGAGGTAGGTGGATCTCTGTGAGTTCAAGACCACCCTACTCAATATAGTGAGTTCTAAGCTAGTCAAGGGTACAAAGAAAAGACTATCTCAAAAAGGGGAAAAAAAAATACAAAAAAAAAAAAACAGCAAGAAAAAATTCAAGGCAACTACATGAAATTTAGAGATTTTATTATCACTTTCAAGCTGTTATAAGGAAAGAGTAGCAACATATAAATCAGAGTTTAGCACTCAAGAAAATATTATTTAGCTGTATGACAGAGGAAAGGAAGTCACAAATGAACACTTGGCTGATGGGGGATATGTCCTTCTGTATGCTATGAATATATGTTTCTCTTATTGGTTGATGAATAAAGCTGTTTCAGTCAATGGACAGGCAGGATGTAGCCAGGAGGAAGTATAGGCAGGGCTACCAGACTAGGGGAATTCGGGGAGGAGAAACACAGAGAGATGCCATGTAGCCGCCAAAGGAATAACATGCCATAGCATTACAGGTAAGCCACAGCCTCATGGCAATACACAGTTTAATAGAAATGGGTTAATAAGATAGAGCTAGCCAATAAGAAGCCTGAGCCATCAGCCAGAGTTTATAATTAATATAAGCCTCAGTATGTTTAATTGGGACTGAAGGGCGGCAGGACCAGGCTGGACAGAAACATCCGTCAACACATGGCCCTACAAAGGAGAACACCCTACAAAGGAAAATGCCTCTGGGTCAAGCAGCTGCTAGACAGTAATGAAGATTCTGCTCCTAGTGATTTCAGCCTTATCCAGAAACAGAAACACACACATACTTCACAAACGCATACTTTTCTCTTACTCCATTCAAAACTCCTATCTGAGGACTACCAATCACCCCTGAGCATGCTTAGCCAGGTGGAATACACCACCCAAACCAGCAGAAACCAAGAAAGCACACACGGGGTTCTAGAACTGTGTCTTAGATTTCTCAACACAGTGTTTCTCACTCAGGTGTCCTGAATCATCTTTCAAGTTCAGACAACACAGTATTCAAAAACAGACTCCTAGTTAGGGTACAGTTCAGCTGGGTAAAATGATTGCCTAGTGTTCAGGGAGCAGATAATGCACCAACTATAACTACAGTGAAATACATTCCCTGAATTTCAAAGTGACACAACAAAATGCCTTTGTTTAGTCAGTACTAAGGGGTCTGTTACAGAGAAATTTGAGTCTTTAGCCCACTGCACTCAGAAAACTGCTGGGTTTTGTTTTTTATTGGTTTTGAAAATTACTTTGGGATTTGGGTTTGTTACTTTTTTGTTGTTGTTTTAACAAGGTATGGGCAACTTGGTTAGATCCTATGTTAAAGTTTTAAAAAGGGTGAGGGGCTGGGAAGTGCTTAGCATGTAAAAGGACCTGTATTAATTTATACTACCACAAAAGAAACAGAGAGAGCATGCACAAAAGAGACTGAGGAGAAAGAAGAAAATTTTTACTTAAAAAATATTCTTGTAAATGTAAATGTTAAGTACATGCTATTTGGGGCACTAAAAAAGGTTACTTCATTAGCCCTGACCACAGAGCCTGATGCTCAAAAGCCGGAGAGTGATATGGCCAGAAAGAGGAGAGTTCTTCTCATTCTTTAGTACATATCATCCAGGGGACCTGAAAGTCCCTTACATAAGACCAATACTAAAAGTGAAGAAATTAACTCAAGATCTGCAAAAGGTTATTTCTGGGGGCTTCATTATCTTTAGTGAGAAGTCCAACACTAGTCCTTCACTTCAACTCTGCATGACCTTGGCAGCAAATGTTGTAAAAGACAAAAAAGAGGGACTAGAGGGTACTCTTGTAAAAAGAAGGCTGTGAGCCCAGCAATCAGGAAAATCTGCTGATGCTCTCAAGTTTGAGATGCTCTTCAGAACTGAAACCAATACAAACATCTGCTACATAAAATTCCCACCTCACAAGAAAGGTAAAGCTAATACTGTGGGATACAATATGACCTATTTACATTGTATTTATGTTTAAATTTCTCCAAACCATCAAAATGATCTTTACCTAATCCTTCCACTATTATCGTCTCCAGCAGGAGTGCTATCTGATCACATTGGCACTGGGATATGAGAGCTGCTATCTCCTGTGTTACCTTATTTACGTAAGGGGTGGGGTGCACACCATAGTCCACATGTGGAGGTCAGAGGACAATTTAGAAAATTGGTTTTCCTCTTTTAACACATGAATCCAGGGAATTGAATTCAGATCATCAGACTTGGCAACTGGAAATTTTAAACAATAAGCTATCTCGATCGCCCTAGGGGAGCTGCTTATCTTGAAGCCCAAATGGACACTGTAACAAGCATGGAAGTAAAATCAGAGATTGCTAGGCTGCACACTGTAAATGAACACAGGGTCGTTAGGTACTAGGTTATGTTGCTGTTGTTCTGGTTTGGTATTTGTGCTTTGGAGACATGATTTTACCAGGTAGCTCAGGCTGGCCTTGAACTCACTCTGTATAGACTAGACTGGCCTTGAACTCACAATCCTCCTGCCTGAGTACTAAGACAGCAAGCATATAATTCCACCCTTTGCATATTTAAAAGCCTAATGACAAAGTAGTTTCCTGTCCCCCTTTTGTTTTAAAATTCTTCAGTAAAGATGACTGTTTTTTAATTTATCCATTTAAATTTTTAAGAATGTTTTACACTAATATAATTTCACTTTCTGTAAGTTTCAGACATATTAAGAAGTCTTTGAAATAATGGCAGCATGTAGAAGACTTATCTTAAAATCCCCTCCAACAAAAACAGAGCACGTATCCCTCCAGGCTTTCACAGAGATCTCCAAGCTTACTGACCTGGTCCTCCTCTTCATCCTCGTCTTCCGCCAGACGCTGCCTGCCCACCTCATAAAGCCTGCACACCGTGTCCATGTTCAGGGCATCCATGCTGCCTTGATTCTGGAATGGGAAAAACACTCTGAACTAAGCAGTGAGTCAGAGTGCCCACATCCATACCTTAGCTCTGACAGGTGCCCTTTTCTTAGACCCTGTAACTATCAAAGTTTCCAACACCTACAATCATTTGGCTGACTCTCAAAATGGTATACACAGGACAGAGTGGGAAAGAGATGGAATGGAAAAGTTTAGGCAATGGTAGCTGGAAGCATAGGAGAAGCCACTACCACTGCAACAAAGTTATCTTACTCTGATGAGACACAAAGACTCCTCTGAGAAAGAAAGAGCAGTTTGAGTACAGGAGCTAGGAATTTATAAAGGGATTTTTCTCACTGTTTCTCTTAAACTATGCATTTCCCAAACTCTATCAACTGAGTACAGTATCAGTTATCTCTAATCAAGAATATTACTTACTTTAGGATGCAGCTGATGCCAAATAAAATCTCTAAATATAACTTGGAAATTATTGTAAATACCATCACAATAGTAAAAAAGTCTCTGTAAGCCTCCCTTACCTCAATGACAGCAAGATAGCAATCTTTGGTGTCTGTACACAGGTCAAAGATGTTCCGTTTCACATCAATAGTTGCTGAAAAAGAGAATGTGACTGAAACTTAAATTACTGCTGTGGCGTAAAAACCTTTTTCATTCACAGGAATTAATTAGAAGCCAATATTTAGGACTATACAGATGACTCAGTGGTCAAGAGTACATCCTTGCAGAGGACCCAAGTTTAGTTCTCAGCACCCATGTTAGATGGTTCACAACCACCTGTAACTCCAGGAGATCTGATGCCTCTGGCCACTGTGGGCAAATGCACTCACATGCACATACCTACACACTGACAAACACACAGACATAATTAAAAATAAATTTTTAAAGGTCAATATTCATAGATACTTCTATAACTTCTGTACTTGTCAATAAAAAGTCCTCCTGGAAAATGGAGGATCTTAAGGAAGGATACCAAGACATGAAGAAAACAATGATCAAGTGCCTGCCCTTGCATGCTTACCTATAGGTTTATAATCAGTTGCATTAAATGTTCGGAAGGAAGACCCAAAAGGACTTTTCATCCTCTCTTCCAACAAGTCATCTTCATCATCTGCCTGCAACATTGCTGATTGAGGGGAGGAAGAGTAATGAAACATTAAGAATCAGAAACATTACTAAGTTAACATCATGGAATTCACTATTCTCTTTTTTTTTTTTTTTTTTTTTTTTTTTTCTCTCTTTTGGTTTTTCCAGACAGAGTCTCTATCTGTAATAGCCCTGGCTGTCCTGGAACTCACTTCATAGACCAGACTAGCCTGGAACTCACAAAGACAGACCTGCCTCTGCCTCCCAAATGCTGGAATTAAAGATATGCACCACCACATCTGGCTCATATATTTCTTTCTATACAAATTATCTTCAAAATTAGTTGCCTTTTATCCTAATCAACAAAATTTTTCATCCATTTGTTCTTTAAAAATAAACTTTTAATTTTCAGTTACTTTTCATAAGTGAAAAGCATTTCCAAAATTCAAGTACCCAATTATGTGAGAATGCAGGAGAAAGAGGATGAAGTAAAAAAGTCTTATTACCTCCATACATCACTGTCCCAGTGTGGTTAAACACCACACGACACTGATCCAGAGCAGGAACGGTGTGTAAAAGATGGAAAGTTCGAAGGTCCCACTAGGAGGGATGTGATTAAGGGAAACTATCTTATACAGAAGTTGAGAACTCTGCTTTACGTGGGTAGAATGGAACCATGCTTGCCAAGCACTCTACCAACTACAATCAAAGGCTCTTCCCTAACCTCATGGAGTCTCTAAAGCATTACTTTCTCTTCCTACTAAATTCAAAGTACTGATGTTTTAAGTGCCAACACATGTTACTGACTGATATTCCTGGCAAATAATTCCATATAATAAACACTACATGAGCTCCCTTCCCCCCAAAAGTAGCAGTTCATTCCCCTCTTTTCATGTCTAGCAACTGATTTCTACGGAGCAAAAGTGATGTAGTCCGAAATGGTTCTGCATAACAATCAGGTAACAAATGCAAAGTAAGACATGCAATCTCTTGTAAGGATACAATCTCTGTATTGATGATGACCTCCAGCCCATTTGGATGGAAAACGCCACTGATATTCATGTTGAACTTGTCAAACTTGTGGATGGCCTGTGCAGAGCGGACATCCCAGAGGACGCCATCATTTAAGACAAGATCATCTGTAGGATTAAAGGTGGCACAGTTCCTCTTGTAGTTGTTGGCAAGATCTGGGTTAAACAGAGTCAACAGCTTGTTGCCAGTCTGAATATCATAAATCTTTAGAGAAGAAGGGGCGGGAAGAAAAAAATCAGACCAATCTACGCAGTGACAGGTTTAAAGAGAGACTGTGAAATGCCTCTCCGTGTTCCCAAACCCCAATCACAAAAGCCCTGACACTGGTCAACTGAAATCCTCACAGCACACCCCCTGAGAAAAGGTAAAGGACACCAGCTCCTATCTGAGCTCTGAAACACCCCTTTCTCACAGTAAAATGGGAGGATTTTAGATAAGGATTTAAGATAACAAACAAACCTTTTCTTCTTCTATTTTGAACAGAAAATGTTTGCAAGGTTAAAACTTGAGAATTCTCATTATCATCAAAGATCATAATCATCAATGATTAACCATAACATAAAAATTCCAGAGTATATTTTAGCCCCATCACACTAAAAAATTCTAAAGTTTACAATTTGCAACCCATGCACAAACCAGATCCTTTGCATCAACTAAGACATTGTAATATTTCCAGTTTAAAAAAGATCCTCCTCTGATATAAATAAGGAAGACACCATAAAGAAACAAAGAAGCCCAGAACCATGGACAAGACAACCATTCTAGTCTGCAAAATTCAAAGTCAGGAAAACTGGAGGAAAGATTCTTGGCTTTAAAACATTAGGAAAACATAACAACACATTACATGAGTCCTGACTAGGTCCTGGTTTAAAAACAAACAACAACAACAAACAACAAACAACAACAACAAACAACAACAACAACAAAACCTTTGAAACCAAGTTCAACAGGAACAATTATGAAAATTGAGTGTGGACTGGATAGCAGATACATGGGAATTATTTGGAAATTTATTATACAATAAAGTGTCTTTATTGTTAGAAGGTAAATATCATAAAGATAAAAATACCATGATGATGTTTATAATCCCTTTCAAATGATCTTTTAAAAAAGGAATTTACACAGAAAACACTGCAAAATATTAAAATGACAAATCTAGGTAATGAGCATATGTATTTTTTTCTTTTTTTCTTTTTTAAAATTTTCTACATCCTCCCCAAGCTCCTACCCTGCTTCTCCAGTTACCTGATAGTCACACTTCCTTCGGTGTTCTTAAATACTGCCCTGTCTTACTCTGTAACACTTACTATCTAATATATTTCTTTTCTTTATTGTCTCTCCAATAAGACTCCCTAAAGGCAGAGGCTATAATTCATCTAAAACAAGGTAAGAAATCAATAAACATCTGTTCTTAGTTGGGTGTGGCTGGCCACACCTATAATCCTACAATTTGGTAGGCTGAGGCAAAAGAATCCTAAATTCAAGACCAGGCAAGTCTACAGAGAGAAATGCTGGATGGGGGGTGAGTGGGGAGAGAAAGAAAGAAAACTGAAAAAAAGGACAGATTACTATACTAAAAATCTTTTCAAGTTGCCAAATTCATACTCAACCCTCTGCTGTGTTTCTCATGTAGCTCACTGTTTATGACATAGTCTCACTAGTGGTCAGTACTGACCTTGAACTCCTTTTTTCCCCAAGACAGGTTTCTCTATGTGGCCCTGGCCGTTGTGGAACTCTCTCAGGAGACCAGGCTGGCCTTGAACTCACAGAGATCCACCTGCCTCTGCCTCCAGAGTGCTAGGATTAAAGGTGTGGTCACCACCACTGCTTGCCCTTGGGCTTGAACTTTTGATCCTCTTGCCTCAGAAGTAAGAAATCACAGGTATTCACAACCATGTCTGGCTCTTTGCATAATTTACAACTATTTACTTCTGGATTCTAACTAGAGGGTTTGTTTTGGTGTTTTGGTTCTTTGATATTTTGTTGTTGAGATACTACAGATTGATTGCAGATCATGTTAGGCAAGAGTTCTCAATACCTTCCCAACTCAGCTCCCAGTCCTTTAAATTTTATTTTGAAGAGGCTCATTAACTGCTCAGGCCAGCTCTGAATCTGCAGTCTCCCAAAGTCTTGGTCTCTAGAATAACTGGGATTACAGATATGGACTATCACACCCACTTCACTGAGTAATTTCTAGCTGCCAACAGGACATAAATTCCCACATTACCTCCAGAAGATTTCAATGTGAACAAATGGGTAAAATCAGCTTAATAGCAGTAGACTCTTAAGTACTTACATGGGCGATGTCTCCTTTTGTGCCTATGACCCGATCCTGAGAGTGCTTACTGAACTCAACATAATGATCTTCTGTGAAGGAATGCCTATAAACAAGAACATTACTGAGTAATGACTGTAGGGACTACTCTTCAGTCACCTGAAAATACAGGTAATTTTTAACCTCTTGCAAATCACTTACCTGATTCTCCTTAGTTTCTAAAGAAGAAACAATTGTATACATAGATTAAAAAGAAAACTCCCTCCACTGAATAATGGGGAGTTTGTTGGTATAAGAAATGACAAATACAGGATGTGTGCTTTTGAAATATCCCAGAAATCAATACTGTCATGTGAACATAATATATAAATGTCCATTTTGGGGTAGTGACAAGTCCATTTTATAATGAAAATATAAAGACATAATAAAGTTATTTATAAACTAAGATAAATTCTTATTAAATGTGAATCTCAAATGAAAAAGGAAGAAATTACCAACAGTTGAGATTATTTCTCTTTCCCCAAAAGGCTTGAAATTTAAAATCGGATGAAGGGAAACAAAGTGGGTAAATAAGATACAAAATACTATGCTGTAAAGCAAATAAATACATACTTCATATCAAATACTGACTTCATCCCCCAAAGTGCAGACAAAGGCTGGCTCCAAGTGGCAGATGTCAGAAGTAAGGACCCATCCTAAAAAAAGAAGGAGTTAGTAATCACTAAGATCTTAATTACATGTGCCTATAGTGGACTAAAAAAAAAAAATTATTCCCAGAGCCTAAAGATGGTTCTTTTTTTAAAGTTTATTTATTGTGCATCTATGTATGATATGTAGGTATGTGCCACGCATGTAGAAGTCAGAGGACAACTTTGTAGAGTTACCTTTTTCTTCTACCAAACAAACTAAGGAAGTCGGGATAAGCATGGTAAGCACTTTTACCCAATAACCCATCTTGCTGACCTGGGCTTTTTGTTTGTTTTTCTTTTGATGAAATAGGGTTTATGTACTTGGGCTGGCCTAGAACTTATTCTGTAACCCAAGGTGACTTTGCATCACAATCACCCTCAGTTTACTATGTGCCACCACACACAGCTGAAATTTTCCTATCAATAGCTCAGATCCCTTCTGAGATCTGTGTCAACATCAAGTAGACTCTCTAGCTAATGACTCATCTGAAATAAAGTCTAATGAAAGGTAAGGCCCTTTAACTCTGGCCCCATCCACATCAAATTAAGAGCTAACAAGGGGAGGAGCCCTCACCCTGGAAGGTTCAAGATGTGTGATGGCTGAGTTGTGACAGTTATAGCTAGCCTCTTCCTGTCCACTAAATACGTTGTAGAGCTTCAGCTGCCCTGTGCAGGTTCCAAGCATCAGGAACCGCTCCCGGGCTGAAAATGCACAGCAGGTAAAGCCACTCTCATCTTCATTAGCTTCCCGGAACACTGAAATAGGACGAAATCTAAGCAAAAACAGACAAAGTGCATAAATCAGAACAAAGAATATCCAGGAACTCTGAAAAACACAAACTTTGCTAGACAGTAGGAGAGAAGAGTATTATGTTTCAAACCGTGAAGTCTTATAAATAAAAATTTAATTCTAAAACATTACAGTGACCTTCAGTAGTTTAAATTTTCAATGAATAGTGTGTGGCTAACGCCAGGCATTGGTGCCCCATGCCTTTAATCCCAGCACTCGGGAGGCAGAGGCAGGCGGATCTTTGTGAGTTCCAGGCCAGCCTGATCTCCAGAGCAAGTGCCAGGATAAGCTCCAAAGCCACACAGAGAAACCCTGTCTTAAAAAACCAAAAATACCAAAAAAAAAAAAAAAAGAAAGAAAGAAAGAAAGAAAGAAAGAAATAAAGAAAGAAAGAAAGAAAAAGTGTGTGGTTCCATGATCTGTCTGTAATATTTGTAAAGAACTAGACAGAAGACAACTCGGCCAGCACACAAGACAAGTTTGAGAAATAGCTAGAAACAGTAAGTTTAAGTTAAGATCTAACAAACATACTGGTTGTGATGGTAACAAAGGAATCAAAATATTGTTCAGAATCTAATAAAATGAACCCATAATTTACTTAATAATTAATTCACAAAACACATAAAAATGATGTTCAGTAATACTTAAGGCCAACAAATAACTTTAACTAATCACTCAGTGATGTTAGTGACCAAACACTTGATTTAAATAAAAGAATAATTCCAAGGAACATGGGGAACCTCTCCTTACCTGCTGAAGATAAGGTGCCTATCAAAGCATCCGCCATCTACCCCTCCATACTTTGGAAATGATGCCCTTCGGTTTAGCCTTGAGGTAAAGTTTATTGGCGCTTGCCGCCTCTGTTTTGGCTCAGGACACTGATGAGGAGTAAAGAGAGAAAAAGGTGGACAGGTGGCAACGGGGTTCTTGCAGCGAGCATGTTGCTCTCTAAGATACTCTGTGATGATACTGTCCAGTGTAGGTGGGGAAGGAAGATGTCTATCCAATTGTTTTTTTATGGCGGGGCTCTGGCTGTATGCACCATGGTCCGACTTCTGCCGTAAAACTCGAATTTTTCTGCCATTGCACGGTGACGGCCTCTCTCTGATAAAACTGATCCTACCAATCAAAGGGGAGTTGCCTGTATACGATGGGCCAGGCAAAGCCAATGAACCCTGGGGGGGACGAGGTGGAGGATGAACAGGGGGCGCAGAAGGGGCAGAAGCACCCACAGCAGCATGGCTAGCCAACCGATTTGCAATGCCATTGGCAATTCTAGGGGTCCGGGGAAGAGAGACAGGAGAAGCAGCAGCAGTTACTGGGGTGAAGGCAGAAGAATGGGAGGCAGCAGTCATGGGCAAGTCAGCCTCTCTCGTCAGCACAGTTGCTGTCTCTCCAAGCCCTTTAGAAATGAGATGATTTCGTATCAACAGAAGCAGCTCTTTCTCAGGGAAGGAGATCCTTGACTGGGCAACAACATCTGCTTTCTGTAGTCGTGCCAGTGATACATCAGTGCCAATGAGAAGAGGTTTTCCTGATACTCGCTCAATGAGCTCAGCGGCGTATTTGCAGAACTTGACATGGTCACTACGCTTGTCCTGTAGCACTGGCTCCTTCATCAGCTGTTGAATCTGGCAGCTACTAAAAAGGGGCAATTTGCTGATGATCTGTCGAACAGTGCTACTTCGAGACAAGCCCACCAGGGCCTTGCAGGCCAGGGCCCGGATCTGGTCTGCATCTGTGATGGGCATCTTGATGGACAACAGGGACAGAAGCACCTTGATGCCATTGTTGGACTGGACCACATTCCACATTTTGGCCAGGGTATGCTCACTGCTCTTGGGGGTCTGAGACAGCTTTCTCCGAGGAGTTCCAGAAATAAATTTACCAATACTGGATATTCGGTTATCTGGTCCACATACACAATTGATGATAATCTGAAGTGCTGACTTCTGAATTTCAGCATCATGGATAAAGAACTCACCCTCAGCCACTCCCAAAATAATGCTAATACCTATAACATAAAAAAAAAAAATTGTATTATTATTTGTAAAACTAGTAGCTAGAAGGACCTGAGATGTCACATTACAAGGATACTATACCCATCCAATCTTTATTGTGCACTACTAACAGCAGCCAAGTTATGGGATCAGTGTAAGTGTCCTTCAACAGACAAATGGACAAAGAAGACATGGTATTATGCACAGTATAATCTTACTCAGCAATAAAAAAGAATGAAATTATATCATGTACAAAAAAATAGATGGGGCTGGCAAGACAACTTACTGAGGAGTCAACAAAGTCTGGCGTACCAAATTGAGGCAGGACCAATCCCCCACCCCCATCAAGGCTGAGCAAGGTATCCCACCATAGGGAATGGGCTCCAAAAAGCCAGTTCATGCCCCTGAGACAGGTCCTGGTAAGTGGCATAAATATCACCCATACTCAAGAGGGTCTAGTTCAGTCCCATGAAGGTTCCCCAGATGTCAGTCCATTGTCCATGAGCTCTTACTAGCTCTTGTCAGCGGCCTCTGTGGTTTTCCCATCATGGTCTTGACCCCCCTTGTTCATACGATCCCTCCTCCCTCTCTTTAACTGAACCCCAGGAGTTCAGCCCAGTGCATGGCTGTGGGTCACTGCATCTGCTTCCATCCTTTACTGGATATAGGTTCTATGATGACAATTACTCTCTTTATATGAACTGTATGGTGCCAATTACAGCAGACAAAGAAACCTCCACAACCTTCTATTCCAGTTGTTCTCAATCTTCCTAAAGCTATGACCCTTAAAAACAGTTCCTCATGTTGTGGTGACCACAACCATAAAATTATTTTCATTGCTACTTCATAACTAATTTTGTTACTGCTATGAACTGTAATATAAATTCCTGATATGCAGGTTATCTGATATGTAACCCCTATGAAAGGGTTGTTTGACCCCAAAGAGGTGGAGACCCACAGATTGAGAATATCTGTTGTATTCTAGCATCCTGAAATTAAGTTATAAACATGACCAGAAGGGCAAAGGCAATTTATCAGACAACAAAAATGGCAAGGTGAATGCTTCAGAGATAACTTAGTCTGTAAAATGTTTGCCTTACCATCACAGGACTTAAGTTTGATCCCTGGACTCACCAAAATAAATAAACAAGAGTCAGGAATAGTAGCACATGCCTGTATCCTAGTACTGGGAAAAAAGAACAAATCCATCCCCAAGACTCAATGGCCAACCAGCCTAGCCTACTTGGTGAGTTCCAGATATCAAAAAGAAATATGGTTTAATCCCTGAAGAATGATCCTGGTGTTGTCCCCTGGCCTTCAAACGCATGCATACATTAACAAAAGCTAGCACAGTAACAAGGTGCAACCTACCTACAGTGGACACAGTAGAGCCAGCCTCGTCTAGTACATCCACTGACTCTGCCAATTGGAGCTGAATTTTTGGCACCACAGTGAGAATAGCCAGGACATCCAAAGCAAAGCGCACAGTGTCATTCCTAGACAGGAAGAAGAATTATTCAAAGGGGAACTACAACACAACCTCAAAAACAATTTAAACAAAAGGAAGAGAAGTCAGGAGGTGGTGTTGCATGCCTTTAATCCCAGAACTCGGGGGGCAGAGGTAGGTGGTTCTCTGTGAGTTCGAGGCCAGCCTGGTCTACAAAGCTACACAGAAAAACCCTGCCTCTAGAGAGAAAAAAGACCTAAGAGATAATAACAAATTGGAACCACCATCTGAAAGGTTTTAAAATACTTATTTTTAAAAAGATATTTAAGACAGAATATACTGGACACTCTAAAAAATAATCTGGAAATATGAGATATGATTGTAATTACATTTAATTATTCATGTGTGTGTCATAGTGTGTGCAGTCAAAAGACAACTTGAAGGAACTGACTTTCTCCCATCATTAGGTACCAGAGATCAAACTCAGGTCACAAGGCTTGGAGGCAGTTTCTTTTCCCACTGAGTGATCTCACTTGCCCAAAACAGGTTTTTGTGTGTGTTTGTTTTTTAAGATTTATTTAGGTCAGGCAGTGGTGGTGCACACCTTTAACACCAGCACTCAGAAGGCAGATGAGTTCAAGGTCTACAGAGTGAGTTCCAGGACAGCCAAGGCTACACAAAGAAATCCTGTCTCAGAAACACAAAACAAGACAAAAAAATAAAAACAAAAACAAAAGACTGGATGTCTCAGTATTCCCAATCTGGTGCTGGAGTCCTGGGGTCTAGAGACCTGCTGGTCTTCAGCCTATGTTGCAGCACTGAAGAGGCAGATTCTGATAGGAGCAAAGGAAAGTCAAAGCAACAAGACAGACATTTAAAGCCAGGAATGGTGGCAGACACCTTTAGTCCCAGCAATCGGGAAGCAGAGGCAGGATCTCTTTTAGTTTGAGGCCAGCCTGGTCTATATGGTAAGTTCCAGAACAGTCAGGGCTATGTAGAAATCCTGTCTCAAGAAGAGAAGAGGTACAAACAAGTATTTATGTATAGACTAAGAATTCATTATCCAAAATGTTCTGGACCACTTCAGATGACAGTGCTTTTCCAATTTTAGAGTACTTGGATAGAATTTATCAACTGAGAATCACTAATCTAAAAACTTACAATCTAAAATGCCCCCAGGGCATTGGTGCCCCATGCCTTTAATCCCAGCACTCGGGAGGCAGAGGCAGAGGCAGGCGGATTTCTGTGAGTTCAAGGCCAGCCTGGTCTCCAGAGCGAGTGCCAGGATAGGCTCCAAAGCTACACAGAGAAACCCTGTCTCGAAAAACCAATAAATAAATAAATAAATAAAATGCCCCCAAATCAATTATGGCCAACAACCCTGTACAGTAACAATCATTTCAAAAAATAATTAAATAAATTTCTACAGGAAAGGATTCAAAATACAATTATGTGAAAGAGAAAATATATGACACAAAATCTAAAATCTGAAAATACCAAACACTTATAAGAAGGTGGGAAACTATCAAGGTCACTCTACAACATCCCACAAGTTGTTCCCTAACTTCCAAATATTTACCTTACCACATATGTACCCCACACAAGCAAGCAAGCAAAGAAATAACTTTTACACCATAGATGAGCAGATAGAGTGATTTGCTACCAAGTATTACTAACAGTGGTGAAAGGGAAAACCAACACATATCTGCTGTCTCTGACACTCACAATCTCAATCTCTACATAAGTGAGTAAAAAATATTTTTTTGAAAAATCACATTATAGCTGGGAATCATAGCACACACCTTTAATCCCAACACTCAGGAGGTAGAGGCAGGTGGATCTCATCAAGTTCCAGGCCAGTCAGGGCTACATAGTGAGATGCTGTCACAAAATATAAAAGGCTGGAGAGATGGCTCAGTGGTTAAGAGTACTGGCTGCTCTTCCAGAGGTCCTGAGTTCAATTCCCAGCAACCACATGGTGGCTCACCATGCCCTCTTCTGCCATAAAGGTGTATATGAAGATAGAGCAGTCATATACATTAAATAAAAAAATATTTTGAAAAATACATAAAAGGCTTGAATAATAAGGTCTGGCAGATAGATCAGGGGCTAAGAGCACTGGTTGTTCTTCCAGGACACAGGTTCAATTCCCAGCACCTACACAGCAGCTCACAACTGTCTGGCTCTAAATTCATGCTCTCTTCTGCTCAAGATCCTGCATGTGGGAATACATAAGTGCTCACACAACCACACACACACAGAAAGAAAAAGGAAGAGGGGGATTTAAATAATAAAATAAAAATCACTTTCTTCTTTCTTCCTTTGTTACTTCCTTTGTTCCTTTTTGTTGTTGTTGTTGTTACTGTTTTACTCTTCTTTTGATACAGGGTTTCTCTGTGTAGCTGTAACTGTCCTGGAACTCATTCTGTAGACCAGGCTGGCCTGGAACTCAAAGATCTGCCTACTTCTGCCTCCCACCCAACCAAAAAAGAGGAAAAGAAAATTGACACTTTCATACTTAATCAGCTTCCTTCACAGAGTCAAGTATAAAACTTCAATACAACAAAAACTTGTTAAACATGTATTATGTGAAACAACTTTGAGTCCCACCTTGCATAATAGGTCTTCCAATTGCAGGCAATGGAAATAAGCTGCAGTAAGAGTTGCACACAGGAAAGCTTGAGGAAGACTTCAGCAGGTTCCCAATACAGCTGAGCTGGGCCATATTCTATCAAAAACTCCATCATCTCCACAATCTGCTCATGAGTGTATGAGCATGCCTATGGGGACAGGATTGTAGTATTATAAAAAAAAAAAAAACTGTACCATCTGCTACTTTCTCAATGCTTGACAAAGATTTTAATAATAGTATCAATTTCTACAATTCTGGAGTCACCAGTCCATAACAATGCTACATAATGCTTAGTCCTTTTGGGGTTTTTTGTTGTTTTGTTCATTTTTTGGTTTTTTTCAAGACAGGGTTCTCTGTGTAGCTTTGGAGCCTGTCCTGGAACTGTCCAAGTTGCTTTGGTCATGGTGTTTCACCACAGCAATGATAATCTAAGACCCATGTCTCAAGAATAAAATTAAACAAATAAGTAAATGACTATTCTCTTACCTTGTATGGAGGTTGAGGGTGAACAAGAATGCCACCCTCAGTCCTCTGTAGTGATTGTTTGACTTGTTCCAATTTAATGGCCAGGTGAGCCTCAAAATACTTTCGAAGAGCCATGCAGGTATGTTTGCCTGTTTGGCGGCTAGCAAATATTTCATCATCACTCAAAAGTGCACCCTGGTCTTCCAAATTTAAAATCTCCAAAGTACTGATCTATTAGTAAACAGGTATAAGATTCCAAAGGAGATGGGGAAAGAGCACACAGAAAAGTAAAAAGATTAAAAAAAAACATTTGGTAAATGTTTATATTCAACAGTACTGACAAGTTTCATATTCTAACAGTCATATGAAATGAAAAAATGACATCATCTAATCATATTAAAATATATAGAGAAGATGAGGTATGATGGTGTACTCTTGTAGCAAAACACTTGAGAGGCTGAGGCATGAAAATACCAAGTTTCAGGCCAGCCAATCTACATAGCAAATTCAAGGCTCTTGAACTACAGAAAAATTTTCTTAAAAATCAAAAAAAGAAGGATTGGAGAGATCAGCAAGAGCACTGGCTGCTCTTCCAGAGGAGCCAGGTTCAATTCCCAGTACAACACGGCAGCTCACAACTGTCTGTGGCTCCAGTTTCGGGGATCCAACACCCTCACAAAGACACAAACACAGACAAAACACCAATGTACATAAAATGAAATTGAGTAAAATCTTTAAAAAGGTAATCAACTAGAAAGGAAAGCAAAAATACACCAGCCTAAAATTGTTGCCATTTGAAAAGATCAAAATTAACCAATTGCAGTGTGTGGTAGCCCACAGTTGCAATCCAACTCCCAGCACTTGGAAGCAGAGCCAGAAAACTAGATACAAGTTCAATGTCAGCCTGGTCTACAAAGGGAGTTCCAAACAAGGTGACATAATGAAACTACCTTTTCTCACAAAAGCCAGAGAGAGGGAGAGAAAGGGGGAGGGGGACTTCCTCTCTTTTACGTGGTATCTTTCAGAATAGCCAAAATAAACAGGACTCCTAACAGCTAACTGAAGAGCCAGTGGAAGAATCTCACCAAGTTCACCAGGCGACGAAGACCATCATAACGGTCAAAGAGCTCCAAGACAGCCCGGAATGAGAAGCAAATTGAGAAAAACATTGTAGCATGGCAGCATCCTGAAGCATGAGAACATTCCATTAACCATAGGGTATAGTTCACCACATCAGATAGAACATTGTGGGGATGCATGCAAACCTGCAAAAAAGTAAATAAATATATTTTAACATTTGGAGCAAAGGTTTCTTTAAAAGGGATGAAAAATTGTCCAATGTAGACAGAAATGTTTACAGAATACAGTGATCATTCTAAATCAGTTCTAGAGCATAATTCATTCCAAACCTGAAAACTACCTAAATTTAATTAAGTACAACCTATACTTACCAAGAGCCAAAAATATATCATTTAATGCTTCTAAATGACTAGGTGCATAAAGTATACACATCTTGCTTAACAATTATAAGATGCTCAGAGACGTTAAGGACTGTGGTGATATCTTATTTGTATTCTAACAAATAAACCTTGCCTGATGATCAGAAAAGTTAATCACAGAGGTCTGGAGGTCTGTACAGACAAACAGGAAGTAAGATGGCTTGGCAGAGGAATATAAGGCAGGAGACAGTAGCTCGGACTCTTTACAAAGGTATGGAAATTTTATAGAGATAAGAGCGCTAATGCTGAAAGCTCTACTTCTCTGACCTTTCAATTTCACTCCCTGATATCTGACTCGAGGTTTTTATTATTAAGACCAATTAGAACTCCTGCTACAAAGGACCTTTTACAGTCTCACTTTATGGCCTGGAATTCAACTATGTAGACCAGATGGGTCTCAAACTCACAGATATCCACCTGCCTCTGGCTCCCAACTACAAGGATTAAAGGCATGCACCACCGTGCCCAGCAAGGACATTCTTAAGTGGCTGAGCCTACTGATGATACTAAGTCTACAAATGTATCAGCTGCTCTACTGATTCATACATCTGTATGCTTCCTATAAATTAAACACCGTCAAACATTACCTAGGTTTGCCTGGTACTATTTTCTATATTTTAGTCATAATTAACTTTGAGCATATAGTTTACTATTCACAAAAAGTAAAATTTTAACTATTGGTTATCTTAATTAATTAGCAAAGACAAAGACAACACTCAAGACAATCAAGAGCTATACTTAACTTAAAAAGTCATGTACAATACAAAATATTAGAAAAATGTTCCTGGTACAGAAATGATAAGCCCTCTCCTAGAAACACCTAGGGGAAGCATCACTTTTCAAATGTATAGCCCACTCACTTTTTAAAAAATGATCACTAACATAAAAGACTTAATGGAAAAACAAAAGACTCAAACTAAGAATGAGAACAGCTAAAATTAGTTCACTATCTCCAACACAAATTATTTAACATATATAAAGCATATATAGTTTTTATAATAAATTAACTTTAAAATATAATACAGTTGACAAATGAAAAGTGCCTATTAATTGTAATGCCACAAAAATCACAAAAAAAAACAAATAAAGCTGGTAAAACATCTGTCCTGCACTTTCTCAGTAGAGTCAATTTTTTCTAAACCATTTCACATTTTAGGATGCTTTATGGAGATATACATCCTTATTCTTCATGTCTTTCATAAGAATTTCATCTTGTCAACTGTTTCTTTCTTCTTCTTATCCAAACATTCATATGTGAATATGCTGTTTTAAAGAGATGGTCCCCATCAAATCCCATTCTCATCACCTGAATGGACTAGACTTACTCTTTCCATAGCATCCTGGTTGTAGGACAGGTAATACAAGCACATGGATACACCAGTTGCAGCCATAGAAGGACGAGGAATTTCCAGTAATTTCTGTACTCCACCATGTGCAACAAATTCTGTGGCAAATTTGTTATGGAGCAGGAGAGATGCTAGGTGCTAAACAGTAAGGACACATGTTACAGTGGAATAATCAAAAACATCACAAATCTCATAACACAATACACGCCTTTAATTCCAGCACTTGGGAGGCAGAGGCAGGTGGATCTCTGTCAGTGTGAGGCCGGCCTGGTCTACAGAGCAAGTTCCACAGAGAAACCCTGTCTCAACACACAAAAAAATAAAACACGAATTTATTACGTGAGTGGCTATGGTGTTACATGTGGAGGTCAGACAATAACTTGCAGGAATTGGTTTTCTCCTTCCACCATATGGTTCCCAGAGATCAAACTCTGCTCATCAGGGCTTGGCAACAAGTGCCCTAACCTGCTGAGCCATCTCACTGGCTCTAGATAGGCTATCTACTGGCCTTGAACCCACTGACTCCCCACAGCTGGGATTACAGCTTGCACCACAACACCCAATTTTTAATGTTTAAATTTTGTTAATTTCCTGCTCAAAATTCCCACCAGTCTCTCAGGATGAAACAATCTGTACTATTTTAAGGACAGAAAGTCCCACAAAAGTGGGATGGTCTTCATATTTCTGAACCCAGGGCCTCAAAGACAGCCTCAGGAGAGCTAGAGCTCCCCTCCTGTTTCCAGAACAGACAATACAAGCCTGCAATTGCATACTTGAAGAGATAAAGTCAATGGCACCATTAACAGGTATTTACCCTCTTCTCAACACCTAGAGCTGGACTAAGCCTTATATAAAATTCAAATCCTTTCCTTTATTATCCTCTTGTTTATCATAAAGGCCTCTACCATTCTTCCCTCAAGAAGCAGCTAAACTAGGTATCCATTCCCAGTAACTTAGGCCACACAAATCGTTTTCTCATGTTACTACCACACCACCATGACCACTCACAATCACAAAAGGTAGAGAAATAGAGTAAGTAGGCTTACCATTTATCAAGAAACCTAGTTTCATTTGGGTCCTCACCACCTACAAACCCACTTCATCTCACCCTGTGAGCAGATCCTGTTGGTTTTCTTTCTTTTTGATAGTCAGAGCCTGGAACTTGCTCTGCAGACCAGGCAGGCCTCAAACTCAGATTTGCCTGCCTCTGCCTCCTGAGTACTAAGATTAATGGTGGTAATGGTATACCCAGCCTCAATTTTCTTTTAACCCATTTTGTTCCTATTAAGTTGTTCCTTTCTGTTCCTTCTCTTACACAACTTGAATCTTCCTTCTGAACAAAATGATACACAGAGAGAGAGAGAGAGAGAGAGTGAAGGGGGGGGGGGGGGGGGGGGGGGGGGAGGTACTCAAGATAGTAATGTGGGTGGCCAAGGAGGACTCAGACCCTGGAACTGGAGTCACAAGCAGTTATGAGCTGCCACATACAGGTTCTGGAAACCAAAGTTGGTATTTTAATTGTTGAGCCATCTCTCTAGTTCCAATTTTGTTTCTAAGAAGGATCCTTTTTCTTTTTTTCTTTTTTCTTTTGAGTTTTTTCTTGTTCATACATATTTTATTATCTCTTGTCCCATTTATAAATTTTTACAGAAACAGATGGATAATAATACCCATTTCCAAAAAGAGTGAACAAACATTCAAAGCCACTATCCAATTGCATTTTGGTCAAAATCAGTGTTGTAACTGAATGCAGCTGGGCCACTAGACACAGCTCCAACCTCCAGTGCCATTTCACTGTTCAAGGTATAACCACCAAGTTCACTCCTCAGACACACACACAGACACACACACAGACACACACACCATCCCCATATATTACTTCAATTGTCTGATTTCATCCAGACTTAAAATGTCTAGGGACTGAAAGACAAACTTACTCATTTCAATTCCACGTCAACATAAATTATAGCTGTACTACTGTTTACCGCAGCAGACACTGGTGACATGCAGGTTAACTTAATCAAAATTAACTAAATTTCAAATTTAAAGCCAGGCTTGAATTAGCTCACAAATGTAATCCCAACATCAAAGAGGCTTAGGCAAAAGGATTGCTATAAGCTTGAGGCCAACATGGTCTAGCTATAGAGTTACATGCTAACCTGACAGACTGAGATCCTGTCTCAAAAGTAAATAAATGAAACTTGAGTTCTTCAGAGACACTATATTTTCTTGTTGTTATTATTTTCCATTTTTTATTTTGGGAGGGTGGGGGGTGAGAGGAGGGATGGAAGGGAGAATTGTGGTTGTAATGTAAAATGAGACACTATATTTTCAAGTACTGAAAACTCACATATGATTGGCCAATACTGCTGTACTAACTGCATTTAGCATGAGTTTCATAAACACCAAATACTAATAAAATGCTCAGTGACCTAATATTTTTGAGATCTTTACCTTGAGTGCCTCAAAAGTAAGCAGAACATCATTAGTCTGTTTCAGATCAATATAAAACATCATCAATTCTCGTGATCCAAGTTGCATGAATATGGGAAGTAACTGAAATGAAAACCAAAAAAAAAAAAAAAACTCTTAAACTATGGTTTTTCACATTCCCTGCATTTATGAAGAATATTAAAGAAATGAAACCTCAAAGAATAAATTAAAAAAAGTTAATTTTTTTTTAAAAGTACCCCCGCCATGAAGAATATGTCCATATGAATAGGAATGGTCCCCACAGACTCATGTGTTTGAATACTTGGTTCATAGAGAGTAGCACTATTGGGAGGTGTGGTTTTGAAGGAGGAGGTGTGTCACTAGAGGGTGGGCTTTGAAGTCTCAGAAGCTCAAACCAGTTCACTTCATGCTGCCCACCAATCCAGATGCAGACCTGAGTTCCTTCTCCAATACCATGTCTGCCTATATGCCAGCATGCTTCCTGTCATGATAATAGACTAAACCTCTGAAACTGCAAGCCAGCCCCAATTAAATGTTTTCCTTTTATGAGTTACCGGGGTCATGATATCTTTTCACAGCAATAGAAAACCTAATGAAGACATGTGTTCACATACCATGTTTACATGAATACAATTGGATCAAACTAACCTTTTATCAGGAGTGGGCTGCATAAGACCTTATTTATTTGAAATGAAGACCTTTCCAGAATGTAGTTAAAAGTGTCAGTGGGCAATATATAACCATAAATACCTAGACATAAACATAATAGTCCCAAATTGTGACTAGTACCTTATGCCAATAACTTACCTCTTGATACTCTCCTAGAGGGGTCAGATACTGGAGAATAAGTCGCTGCTCAATAGCAGGAGTCATAGGATAAAGGGTATAATTGGTGCCAATCACCCAGGGGGACATTTCCGACCAGCTGCTATTAGACAGCTCAACAAACACACGATCTGGGTCAGAAGATGAGAAACCCAACTTCTGCTTGGCCTTCCTAAAGTTCTCTCTGTCACCATGCTTTGCAGACTTGTTCTTCTTTAATCCTTCCTCAGGCTTAGTTGCTGAGTTCACTCTACTACTGGTCTTGTGACCTGAATCCAGACGAAAGGAGATCTCCATATCTCTAGAAGTTTCTTGCTCTCCATCCACAACATCTACTGTCATGTCACCATAGTCCATATCCACAGCTTCCTCATCCAGAGGCAAAAGAGGTTCTGATGAAAGCTTCCGTGGACTAGGACGCTTATTTTCCTGCCTCAAAGCCACTTCCTGAAGCTGTAGCTCTCTCAGTCTTCGAAGCACTATTGCCACCTAGCAACAAATATTAGAGTGAAAGGAGTTATTCTTTCTGAATTTTAATTTACATGATTCTTATTAAATAATTCTTTTCTTTGTGTTTGTTTTATGAGGTAGAGTCTCACTCTTCCTTTGCCTCTCAAATGTTAAGATTTGTAGTCACATGCCACCACAAACAGCTCGTTATATATTACTTCCTATTAAACAGAACACAATACTCATGCAATTAGCCCAATGCCTGGGAATAGTAGATTTGATAAATATGTTGATTTAATTTCTGTGATTTGATGAAATAGTCTATTTTAAAGTGGATATGGTGGTGTTCCCCTTTAATCCCAGCACTCGGGAGGCAGATGGATCTCTGTGAGTTTGAAGCCAGCCTGATCTACAGAATGAGTTCCAGGACAGCATATATTACACAGTGAAACCATCTTTTAAAAAGACACCCTGGCCTCCTCTGCTGTTCTTGC